TCCAAACATCTGGGGGAGGACTCTTCCTGACAGGAGTCTAGTGTGCTTTGAGGTCATTAGTGAATGCATCACACCCTAGAAGCCCCTTCCTCCCCAGTACGCATTGCTTCCTATGGACTTTCAGCACTGAAATTCCAATTTCAAACTCATGTCACATGCAGTAATGCCACTATCTGCGTAACTATTATCTGCAGTAATGCCACAGAAATCTTGGATTGTCCTTGAAAGGGAACCTTGGGAATCTTTCCATTTCCATTTGAGTCCTTTTTGTATCACTACTGTTCTTTGTTTTGATGCAACAGTATCAAATGTAGCAGTGACTTAATACCATGTCACCACACCACTTTGTGAAACTACAATACTTAAAAAAAATTCAAAATATCTTAATTATCCCCCACAAAAAGATTAAAGGAAGAAAGACAGTCCCAAGAATATAGGCTCTGCTTAATGTAATCATACTTCAGGATTACTCTTGGCTATTAAGGTCCTTTTTGGCTTGGGATGTTGCAGAGGATTGAAGTTGCTCATTGTTTGCCAATTACCTCCAGCAAAACATCTGAGGAGCAAGAACACTGAGTTTGTTCTCCAAATCTAGCCTTCAACTTTGTGGCACACATAATCTTTGCATGTTAAAAGTTCAGGCTGTGTCCTAAACCTTAATTGGTTTGGGCTCCAGCATCAGAAGTTGATGGTGTACTTGAAAATACCTTGTTAATCTTATCTCATGATTTTGGGGCCATTACAATGCTTTTTATGTCTAGGATTTGCATCTCTACTGTCAAGCATGTGGGGATCTCAGAATATTCTCAAGACCTAACTCTCCCATAATTCACACCACAAAGCCTTAAACTAATACCAAGGCGTCATTTTAGCATGAGTGCCAGGAGGTGGAAAAACTCTCACTACACTCAGAAACTCTGATTATACTCAGTGGCTTTGTGTGGGCCAAGCTTTTGTTCAGGCAGCCTGCCTGGCCTGCACCCAGGCAATATCAATCATAGTAATGGTTCATCAGCTAATACTGGGAGGTTGGTTTTCTTTATAACAGTGTAAATTATTTCAAGTCAAGCTGTGAGTGGGCTACATACAAAAGTAGAGATGGAAAATTTGCGGGACATGTGGCTTAGGGTGAGCATGTGTGCAGTCAAATCCACTTTTCAGTTTGTAGTCTAGACATGGCCTTATGGCTTGGATTTGGAAATACTGAACCTCACGGAGATGAAAGTAGGATTTAAATACCCTAAGGCAGATAGGTTGGAATGTGGAGAAAACCTAATAATGCAGGTTACTTTAATGTCTGCAGTATGACTGTGGTCAATCCCACTCTTTTAAATGGGGAGGGGGGAATTTCATGTCATCAAAATTTGGCAGGTACCATTCAAGTTAAATAGCTTGAATCTCTAGTGAGTGTGGTTTGGAAACAAAATTAAAGTTTCTGATAAATTTCTGTAAATTTTCTTTCCAAATGTTCAGCTAAACACAGCTCCTCTTTTGGAGGCAGCTGTAATAATAAAATATTTTACATTTATAAAGTGCTTTTCATCCTGAAAAGTCCCAACAGACTTTGCAAACTGCATTCAGTTAAAATCACCTAAATATGACTAAACTGCATAGGGAGCAACAACCAGACATGGAGGCAAAACACATACCTTGGACCACAGAAGTTTTGGCCAAGAACGCTAGACTAAAATTCTACCACTACTGAAAGAATAATACATTTTTTTATTTACATGAAATGATCAGGACCCTGGACTTCTCAAAATACTCAGTTAATTGTAAACTTTACCACTCCAGTAAGTACCTGGGAAGGTACAAGCAGTGATTTTGGTTAGGACTGGAATAGCAGTAGTCTGTGTGTCTTGAAGCTAATGCTCACAGAGTGTTAAGCTTTCTTTGACAGATAAATGTGGATATTAGTTCCTATGTATTGCATGCAGATGATACAGTTGCCAGGTACGAAGCCTTAATGAGGCTGCAGACAAGCAAAAGAACTTTCTTTGAGAGGGATGAACTGCATGTTACTAGCAATCATTTGCCAGATTGGTATGCTCTACTAAAAAGAAAATATTAAAAATAGCACTAATTTAGAAAGAAAAGCAGTACTGCGTGCAAGCAACTAATACAAATAATAGTATCAGGTGAATGTATATGTTACAATCATGAGCTTTTTTGTTACAGTGGAAATAAAATGGAGGGTATAATGAGTGCTTTTTTTGTTAGTTTACAGAACTATCCTATAGGATTGTATTTTAGCCCAAGAATGCTTGATACAAGTTAGGACCAAAGTGTACACTTCTTGAGAGGCAGGAACTCTCGTGCAGTTCAACTGCAATTGTGCATAAGTGAGGCATGATCGATCTTGCTGAAGAGTAACTGCACCATTCACTGGAATACTGTTAGTTAAGACTGGAAAAGTAAAGTACATGGCATTACAAATACCAAATCAAATTGAAACTGTACTTTTGTATATTGAGTCAAAAGTCTCAACAAAATAAAAATTTATTTCACCAGAAGAAAGAGATTACACTTATTCTTAGTTTAAGTACTCCATGCTACCTCACTCCTGCCGTAGGGCCAGTCCTTATCCAAGCATTTTATGTAAATTATCAATAGAATGCTTATGGAAAAAACACAATTCATATGGTACAGATAATAAATGTGTATATAAAACATTTTAAAGTGTACATTTGCTTCTTCCCTTTGAAATTTTAAACTAAAATCTACATACTTTATTTTTTTAATTCCCCCCCCCCTTTTTTTAAAATGAGTTTCTGGAAGAATTCTCTTAAAATTGGAACAATTTCATTTTAAAAGAAAGTAATGATAGCAATTGATGTTGCTTCTTGGGACCTACTATTCATTAAAATTGTTTTCTAGTTTTCCACATGTGGTCTGCTGGCCAAGTTGTGTGTGTTGTTCTGTGCCACAAACTATAGTCTTTATATAGCATTTCTTTGTTTCAAGGATAACTCTTTAGAAAAACAGGAGAAAAATACTCTATTTTTTATATGGAATGAAAATTTTTCTTGTGTCTGAGTTTGTAGGAGAAACATAAAATAGGGAAAACGGATTTTGGATGAAGAGCCAAGGAAAACCAGCTGTCCACTTTAGTTGGTTCACAAGGATGGGGTTTTTTCCTATCAGCTGGACATCTATCTGAAAAAGATAGTCATTAAAGCAAGGCACTATTTGTCTTAGAGCCCAAGAATCTGAGACTATGAAAGCCACAAAAATTGATGCAAATTATTAATTCTAAAGACTACAGATATGGCAAAATACTTGACATACACAAGAAAAGTATCAAATGTTATTTCTTACTCTTTTTTAATTGGAAGACCAAATAGAGCATGGCTCCAATTTTGCTTCATTTCCTAAAGCATTTTTTAAGATTGGATGGCCAGGGGAGATTGCTAGGTGATTTTATACAGTACATCCAGGTTCTTTTGTACTGAACTCCATTACCTGTATTTGAATAAAGAATGTGTTTCAGAAAGACACTGAAATATGAAGGAAGACTTCAGCAGATGCCAAATCCATCTCTGCTAATATGGACATTCACCCTTGCAATTAAGAATATATATCTTATCCGTAGCCTGATGGTTTGGGCTTTCATTTTCTGGCCACAAAAAGACTTCTCAGCTATTATACTACCCAGCACTTTCCCTTGTAAAGATACAGGCCCACTAGGTTTCAGTGACCTCTTAAGTATTCTTTTATTTCTCTCTCATTTATTACTGTTCAGCCTCTCAGATAGTACCAAGCTACTCAGCCGAACACAAAGGAGTTATTTTTGTCTCTGCTATACACACAGTACAAAACATCAAGGCATTCATGACAAAAATCTAATATAAGAACAGTGCTGTCAAATTCTCAGCAGTGTCAGAGTGAAGAATATCTCGATAAAAACAGTTTTATCTGTGCCTACCTTTTAAAAGCTTTGCTTCACCATGCAAATAGATACCGCTAGAAAATTAATTAGTTAAGGTGGACTCCCCTTGCCTCTTATAACAAGAAGTAGGTCTGTTTCAGACTAAATGCTAATTTTTCATTGAGCACTGGTAATTTGTGCCTCTACACAGTCCATTTATGCATTCTCTCTAAAAACATCTCAGAGTAAAAATTCCAGATTCATTAGACTGATCTCATTGAAACAAACTGGTATATGAATAAGAACATTGTCTTTGGTTCTAAAGCTGTACACAAATGGGAAGTTGGTGCTCTCAGAGACATGAATATGTTCCTAGAACTTGTGGGATGAAAGTTGGTGCCATTTGATGTGAATTGGGAGCAACATTATGTCTTCAGGAGAGTACTGTGATTTCACACCAAAATTTCCATCCCCTAGGTGTCTATTTCTTTTGTATTTTGTCAGGGCAAACTCACAAATCTGCAGAAGGCCCTAGCAATTACATTGATTCTCCACATAGCAGCAGAGTGCTACGGTCCAGGTGCATACCAAGGAATAAAGCCAGTGAATGCAGACATTTTAAACCACTGAAAGGTACATATAGTTGCTCCTTATGTTTCATAAGTGCTGTAGAAGTCACTGAGAAGTAAAAACCCCCAAACTTTTACTAATAAAAAAGGATTAAACAAAAAGATTGGAAAATAATCAGAAAATCGGAGGTGGAATACAGTGAATGAAAAGATGGAGCATAGTATTAAATAAGGTGCTAAATATCTTCATATCATCATTAATCACTTTTATATCAAATTATGAGCTCTATCTCAAGCATTTCATAAAAGTCTATGACTTAAAGGCAAAAGAAGCCTGAGTTCTTGGGTTTATTGGTTTGGGTTTTTTCTCTTTGTGTAACTCTTTGTCATTCTAGGCCAGTTCTCTATATAGGAGGTCACTCACCACAAATCACACTGCTTTAGAAGAGGCTAAAAGATGGATGAGGCCAAGACACAGAGCTGTGCTTGAGGAAATGTGTGCTGGGAAAAGAACTAATATGCACAGGGCAGGAGCAGAAGGAGCCATGGAACCATGGAAACTCTAGCTCTAGAACCTACCTCCTTATCCAAAACAGATGGAAAGGCAGACCAGGAAAAGAAACATTGACGCTCTTCAAAGTTAATGAAGTCAATCACAAATGTGAGTGTGAGATCTACATGGTACGCAGTCAACCTTTCTTTACCCATGACTATGAATCTTCTTGTCCAACAGAGAAATTGCCCTTTAGCAGCAGTTCTCATTCTGAAAAGCGGACACAGCAAAGGAGAATACCTTGGTGAGAGCAGTAGCAAAGGTGAGGGGAAAAGTTTGAAACCTGTGTAAGTTATCTTACAATGTTGACCACTGTAGTTCTTGCTGACTCAACAGATATGGTTAGGCACTTGGTACAACGGACAATCAGAGCACTGATTTAAGACCCAGCTTTAAACTCCTCATTTTGAAAAAGTATTGGAAGTGTTGGCTTAAATATCAAGAATTTATGAAGCAGTTTCTACAGCCTATTACAATGACCTCCTTCTGTTTAGTTGACATATACATTATGAACAACACACTAGAGGAACCAGAGATTCTATTTTTATTTCTATTTGTTTTTTCTTCTCCTAGCACTATTTTGCTAATAGAGAATTTAAAGTGATACGGTAGTCTTTCATAAATGCAGAACCAGATTGCACTCTAATACACACCTATAGCCACATTCAGTACAAAAGATTAAATTCTCATCTTCTGGGTTTCTGTGAGATTATTTTAGTCTGTTGCATTTCCTTTCCCTATTGTTACTACAGCCTCCATGGGGTACCATAAGTGAAGATTCACCAGAATGCTCCATTGTAAGATCTTCCTTTGTGCTGGCTTTTGTCCTGGCAGGAGATAAACCATCTCCTTCGCTCTGTCTGGGACACAGATGGGTATGGGCAACATTCTTCCACTACTGAGTCATTAATCAAAAGATCTATTTTTCCACTTTTTAGTGGCCTCCCTTTTTCAAAATTTTGTCATTGAGTAGACTGTTGAATGTTTTCCATTTATATAAGCCTGATCTTTTCCTAAACCAGCTTGAATTAATTAATTTAGTGTCAATATTCTTTAAACCATGAAGATTTTCTACAGTTCCAATAAAATACGGACACTTGAGAGTTTCCTGCCTCCATTGCTCATCGAAAGATAAAAGTGGGCAAAATGTTCAGCAATAAAGAGCACTGTTCACCACTTTTTTTTCCAGATATGGCAGTTTGATAAAATGTAAAACTTTTCCTTGAGCATTCAAGTATCGAAAAATGTTTGTGATTTTCAAAACTCTGGTGTCAGCATTTGTGAAATAGACGTACAACCCTTATCCATGCAGATGGGTCCGAAGGGCTATGTTGTGGACCACCACATGGTGGATAAATGTAGTGAAAGCATATGTTTATATTTGCAAACAAGTTCTTCTTTTTTTTCTTTGTTCTATAAAATCCCTTTTTGCCTAGATATTTTACAGTTTCCCTAAGCTTGTCCATTCTCATCCTAAAGGAAAGTTAGAAGTACTATTCTGATCAAAATCCTTCACAAGCATGGCCTCCAAATAACCCAGGCCATCAAAGACCTCTGTGCATAAAGTACTGAAATGTATCTAACTTTGAATGTTGTTGATACCCATGGCAGCATTTAACCACTGACATTTTAGCCTGTGCTTCTTCTATATTTATCATGCTTTTATTCACATCACAAAGCAATCTCAAAGCATAGGAACTAGGTAGCTTTTGAATGAGATTGAACTAGAAGATATGCTCCAAAAGCACACCTTATGTTCTCCAGCCATAGGACCAGGCTAGAACAGCCTCCTGAAACCTGTAATGTGGATGTTAAGTTCTCAGCACTAACCTTTTCATGGCACAAATCCTTTTCCATTAGCCTGCACCACTTACTAATGTAGACATCATTCATGTGGCTCATCTGAACCTTCTTACAGAGCAGAGACTACTTTGATGGACTTTGCAAATCTGACTGGAAATTTCAGTCCATCCAGCAAAGTGAACTACAAAATGCAAACAAAACTGGGACAGGCTCCTCTATGCTTGAGGATTTGTTGTATGCACCATAGGTATGCAATGTAGAAGCTAAGTGAAAAGCCCTGGATCAAAACTTTTCTCCTTAGTCAAACAGAGTCCAGAACAATTAACTTCCAGAATATGCTTTTTTTTTTTTTTTTAACCCTTGGTGAGATAGGATGAATGTTTTGAGAGATTTCCCTAGAAGCAGGATAGTCTACTGATATCTACTGATATCTTAGAAGCAACAAAAGAAATTTGAAGAAGAATTTTGAAGACAGCATTATTGATAATGTATGTTATACATTTGCCTGAAAAATGTATTTTGTCTGCTATGTTTATATTTCTCATTAAGCACACAAATAGAGAGATTGGGCGTCTTTTTTAAATTAAAAAAAATGGAGATAGAATTGCATCTGTGCATAATTACAGCTCAAAATTTGCAGATCTATTGTGAGCTTATCCTCAGCAAAACCTCACACAATCACCCCCTTCTTATGGCAACAAATGAGTTTAATAGCCCAGACTTTTTCACATCATCTATGTAAATAAAGCAGAGTGTTGGGAAATATTATCATCACCACTGTGTTTCTAACGAGCTATAATACATTTCTGTATGCTGGTTTCTAGGTTAAACTTCGCTGTAAATTTGTAAGCACGTGCAACCATGCAGATATGATATGGTACCATTCTTTATATGATACAATAAAGAATCCTAAAATACACAAGCAGTATATTTAAAATAAAGTAACCACAAATTCTTACCATACAGAAAGCAACAGTATTCCTGTAAAAAGAGGACATCATTTATAGAAATTGCTTTTACTAGGCACACCCAATTTTGACTTTTGTGAGGCCCAGATAAGTAACATGGATTTCTTAAGTTATTTTAACAACAAATTGAACTATTCAAGCTTTACATTCACTTTCAGTATTAATAATGCCAATCAGATTTGATGCTTGCATTTTCATAAAGCTCTTAATTTCATTTTAAGAATAAAAGACATGTTTTACTGGGTCAGACCAATGGCCTACCAAGGCAAGTTTTCTGTCTCCAGCAGCAGCAATAGGAAAACCTATTCAGAGACTAACAAACTGAGCTGTTCTCAGAAGTCCTTTTCTCTTTCTCTTCCCTCAATACACCACTGTTGTGTCAGGGTGGCAAGAGGTACATCCTCACCCTATTATGATATTGTCCATCTATTTGTCTAATCCCTTTTGGAACCTCCTGACACAGTTTGCCCCTGAAATTCCATGTGACAGCAAGTGTCAGAAGTCCACTACTTTGTGTTTAAATAAATGCTTTCTAGATTTGTTTTAAGCTGATGTTCTATTATTTTCCAGTTCTCATATTAAAGGATAGACTGAATAGAAGTTCTGCCTCTACCTCATTCGTGATTTTCATGACTTCATAATTCTTCATCACTTTTCTTCCCAGCCTTCTCTTTTCATTGTTGAAGACTCACAAACTTTTTTATCTCTCCACCTAAAGTAGCTGTGCAATTGCATAATCATTTAAGTTCCCCTTAGAGCTACATGTTTTTACCCAGAATGTCAAGGCATTTTTAAATGTTTTAGAGAGCTTCTCAGCAACTTTGGGATTCAACTGCCATACTGCTGAAAAGAAAACTGGAGCTTTTCGTATCATCGATCCGATAATATACTTTCCTAGTATGACAGGTAAATTCCCTACTGTTTATTCCTAGAGGTTCAAAAAAATTACTTCTGGAGAACATAGTTTGATTTTCTTCCTTACTCAATTCAACCTACTATTTTATATATTTGTATTCATTAACTTAAAATGTAATATTTTGAAGAGTACCTCATTTTTGCCATTGCAGGCTAATATATTTAGTTGTCCTTCAGTAATACTTACACTTTTCTCCAATATGCTATTTGCTTATTCCTTTAATGCATCTATCTATATCTACAGCTCTTTTAATTATGTTAGGCTCTCCTGGAATGTCTTTAAAGTGTTGCTCAGAGACCCTGAATTGTGTATATTTGTTGCCTTCTCTGATGCTCAGTATTTCTTCTGCTCTAGCAACTTAGGCTGAGCACAGGTGTTGAAAACTTTCCTTTTTGCTTTCATTTGAGCAGTGCTTTTTTCCACTTTGTCTGTTAGAGATTTAATTTTTCATTAGTAACAGGTATTATGTACAAGCACAGAAACCTATGGCCACAGGTAGCTTATCTTTTTTTCTCCCAGGAGAAAAATACAAGCATTGTGCTGACTGTTAGTGATTTATAGAACACAAAGGCCTCATTCATTCTCATTTTAAGGTCATCGCTATGTGATCTTCTTTGAACAACTTGCAGATAAACATCAAGAAGGCCTCATGAATAACAGTGACTAAACTGTCAAGGCAGTAATAGTATGATTGAAGAGAGCATCCTCTAAATGCAACATGTACTGAGGAATGTGGAGAAAACTTCCATGTCTTACAGCTGTGATAAAATGGGGAGTGCGTTTTTAATATAAAGGTGAAGTGGAATATTGACTGGACTCAAGTCTTAAATGGCTTATTTAGCCAAGAAGAGATGGGGGGGTTGCATTTTGAATAAAGCAGAGTGATGTGCAGGAAGCTCAGAGAATATATAGTATCTTACTCTGGTTCCTTTGTTCCTCTGTGGGAGGGAACTTCATAGTATTCAAGAAAATTCCTTGATGGTGCTGCTATTTCATATGAGCGCATTGACAGGATACACAGTTTGGCACAATTGTCTGTTTCTGATCTGAATTACAAACACCAGTGGTGGCAAGATCCAAACTGACCTATACTGGTGGAATAATTCAAGTAATTATTCAGGGCATTGTAGTACAAACACATTTAGTTCTTTAGGTCTGGAGTTCAAAATGCTGCAAAAATCTCATGGTATGCTGTACAATCATGAGTTCCATGCTGCACACGTAGATTAATGATGTGGTGAGGTATCTCATGAGACTGAGACAAGAGACACACAACAAGGTTCTAAGGAGTGATAAACTCTGTTTATTTAATTCCTAAATAAATTTCATAGATGTGGGACACGTGAAAATTGGATGGTAAAGATTCCCATGCCCAGATCAACTAGGAATGTCATGTATACTAATTAAGCAAACAGAAACAAGAAAATAGTTTGTATGTATTTTTGAGGTGCATACAATTCACAATAAAACAGGTTTCCAGTCTCAGTGCCAGATAAGCATAGTCAAAAAGGATAATTGATTGGTTTTATGCACCATTGCACAGTGTCTAAAGGCATTCATAATCTATGGTTGATT